ATCATTATTGTCTCTCTTAGAAAATACTTCATTTCATTCTAATTAAACGACATTACTACATAGAGAGTACTTTGCCAGGTAACTAAAAACAGTTACCACTTTCATTTCTACAATGTCAAAATACTCATTAATAATTCAATTAAGAAAGTGGAACATATAAAGACAATAACGTTCATTATATCTAAACGAAAAATGCCTCTTTTTTGTACTAATGCTTTGTCTGATATACAGTTTCGTATAAAAATCTAGAAATAATATTACTTTTACATTACAGCTGTTTGTTCAAAATATTTATAATGATGAATTTTGTTTTCATCGATAAATCTTGAAAATTTAAAGAGTACAAATATGATATAGTCTATCATCAGGAGACTATTCTGTGATGAATTCATAGCTGTTTATATCTTCATTACTATATCGATGAATATGACAATATAAGTGAATACACATCATTCATAGTTTGTTATGTACAAGTTGATACATTTTGGACGAAAATTAGGTAAATCCTGAGAAGCACTATATTCCAATGAAAATAATTTGAAATGGAAGAAATTCATCAATCTTAAATGTGTAGAAATTTCAATTTTTGCACAACTAACATTTCTTTAACGAAAAGTCGAAAAACTATACGTGAAAAAAGTTTACGCAAAAATTTCTCAGAAATTTCTCAAATACATATATATTGAAGATAATGAAGATGTCCAATAAAAAATATATTGTTCAGTAGAGAGACAAACGCTATCTTATTCTATATAATTTAGACATGTATATATTTCAGACATTCTTAAAATAAAGATCACATTTTGTAAAAACAAAACACACCTATTTTTTAAGTTACTCGAGTTGATGAATTCTCTTGTCTTGTATTCTTATTTGAAGATGAGCAATGTGAAGGAGAAAGACAACACCCTATATATATGTAACACGAAAATTTTTTTTCGTCGACGATGACATAATATAGATGTATGTCAGACGAGAAAAAAAATCATCAAATCAATTAAAACAGAAGTGGAATGATTGATAAAACATCAATCAAAATTTTGAACATCGGTCAATTAATCTCAGGGTATATAAAAACATGAATACATCATTATGAAACAGTATACACTCGAGTTGTATTATTATAATGCATTACAATGTACTTATATACCCGGGATTATTATTTATTATTATTATGATATTATTTACAATGATAATTATATTATTAAATTCTATATGAGGTAAATAATAAATTCATTATATATTTAATAATACTTTTTCTTTTCTTTTTTTTTAGATGAGTTTCGATATTATACAATATTGAGAAGTAAGAAAAAAAAATTTTTTTACATATTCAGTTGAGTTGAGTTGAGATAAGTTATTTTGAGAAAAAATAAATACTATCAGTTATTATGAGTATGAGTACTTTTGAGATGAGATGAGTTGAGGTATGAGTGTTATTAGTGTGGGTCAGAGAACTACGTTGTCTGATTCAATAGGTAGAGAAACTTTGCTATAGCGAAGCAGTGTAGTACTAGGGAAGGCCTCTATGTGTCGTTGGTCCCTATCGTTAATACGGTATACCTTCGGCCATTGCCCTACCAGTCCGGCGTGGTCCGCCTGTGGTACCTATGGCATTGACAAGGGATCTCTCCCTTGTCGCGCGCGCGGGTAAGTCAAAATGAATCGAGAAAAATCGAAACGATTAGCAATGTGAATAAATTTATTGAGCATATAAGAAAAACAATTTACACCTTTTTAACATTGTTAATTCTACGTATCGTTTCTTTAATATGAGGATGTGATGGCGGAAGTGTTTTCTGTTGAATAGTTAGCGCCTTTTCGAGAAACAAAAGTGCCTTGGAGTAATTGCCCATATTATCATACACTTGACCGATGTTGCCATATGAAATAGCCAAATGGGGATGATTCAAAGGCAAAGTTTTTTCGTAGATTTTATGTGATTTTTCGTAAAATTCAAGTGCTTTCGAGTAGTCACCCATGTTGTCATACACGAGACCGATGTTGTTGTAGGAAGTAGCCAATGAGGGATGATTCGGAGGCAGAGCATTTTCGTAGATTTGATGTGCTTTTTCGTAAAATTCAAGTGCTTTCGAGTAGTCACCCATGTTTTTATACACTACACCGATGTTGTTGTAGGAAGTAGCCAAATTGGGATGATTCGGAGGCAGAGCATTTTCGTAGATTTGATGTGATTTTTCGTAAAATTCAAGTGCTTTCGAGTAGTCACCCATGTTGTTATACACTTGACCGATGTTGCCGTATGTAGGGGCCAATGTCGGATCATCTTCCGGGAGACTTTTTCGATTGATTTCGAGGGACATTTCATAAAATGAAGCTGCTTCTGTATATTGCCCTTTGCCATTTTTCATCATTCCAAGCATATAATAGATATGTGCTTTATCACTGTCGTCGAGTGCCTGTTCTAGTAGTGCTGTATATAATTCTTCAGCCTTGTCAAATTGACCAATTTTGAGCAACAATTGACCCAGTCGATACCATCCAGTGCCGTCGACTTCTTCTCGTATACGATCGGTTAATTGACGCAGTTGTTGGTCATCATCCGACGTAAGTTTAAGGTCCACTTGATGAATTGGACTTTTGTTGTCAAGCTTTCGAACTTCACCAATTCGAAAGACGGTGTGCATGGAGAAGAGAATTTCCTCTTCGTCCTTGTAATAACTCACCTCCTGGATTGAGGCGAAAGGAGTCGATGAGACTGTGGGATCGATGGTCATTTGAAAGAGGATGCCGACCATATCGGTTGTTCCTAATGCATCTTTGGCGAAACCGAGGGAAACTTCTCGTTTTGTACTGGTGGATAAAAAATTTTTAAATGATATGAGACCACCTTTGTTTTTTTCGAGTTTATCGAAGTCGCTTGTCAATAATCCTTGGCCCCTATAAACTAAAAAGGACCTCCCATGATACTGACTGACCTGTTGGTTGTGTAATTCTTCGATTTGCCGATGAACATCACACAGGAAAAATCCCATTTGGATGATAATGTCACCATCCAATGTTCTTAATGCTCGATTGAGCATTTTGTATGTGAAGCATTGGCGTGTATACCACCATAACGCCAACGTTGGATGGTAAGTACGTTGAAATTCATTGATTAACTTGAGTTCTTTGGTATTGCCTTCGTATTGTTCTTGGCAATATGTGACCAAGTCTTTAACGGCTTTTTGGCCATGTTCCATATCAAGGAGTATTTCCTTGAATATTTGGGTATACATAAAAGAAGGTTCTAGCTGATTGAGATTTTCGCTAGAACCTCCTTCGTTGACACCGATAATACTGACTGTAACTTGATCTTGATTGCATTGTTTGACAGCTAGTGCCAATTTTTCACAGATGTGCTTGATTGATGTATGCACACCTTTAATTTTGGGCCAGTTTTTAGCCCATTCTTGGTGACGTTGCTTGTTGCCACAAAAGATATATATGGCATCTAATTTTGGCATGCCATGAATTTCGGGTATAAGTGCTTGGCCAAGTGAACCTGAGGAGATGACAAATGATGTCTCCTCTTTGTTTTCCTGGAGTTTACCAATACATTCTTCAGCCGTGGTACATGGGTTCACTTCGTTAACAACACTACGCAGTTGCG